CAGCGCTCAAGTTGGCCATAGTACTAATTTGAACATTCGAAGTCAACTTCACTTCAATTTAGCAAAACACCTAACATTAATGGTCGTGTAAAAGCTACAAAATCATCAATTCGGGCTGGTACAATACATCCTTTGAGTAGTAACCATGCAAACACTATAGCGAGGCTCGTGCTGACTACACAGTTACTATTCCAATATGGTGTCAGGCTTGGTTACTATTCCAACATAACGTCGGCCGCGGGCGTTCTCATTCAGGCCGACTAATTATGAACAGTGTCTACACCTGAGTGAGTGAGTGACACATTTGCATATCAGAGTCTCCACAAGAAACACATTTCTACGCTTCACGTATCCATGAGTTTAAAAAGGGGGCAGGTGAGCTTAGTTCTAATCTCACTCTCATTTACATACTTAATTAGAAGATTTTGTCACTTTCTTTGACTGTATTATGCAAATGATACACAAGAATTAGTGTTCAGTAGTTCAAGTCTAATGGATGACAAATTGTTAACAACAAGAAATGATTGTTTAACCCTTTTTCTGTGGAGCAGGGGGGAGGGGTGCAATGTTTCACAAACCTTTAGGGCAATCTTTTTTTTACGGTTTCTTTTTCTACTTCCCCCATTTCCTCCCCCTTTAATGTCTCAAAGGAAAGTATTGGCCTTTACATTTGTCTTTATCCTACGACAGCTTTTATCATTCCATCTTTTAGGATTTGATGTGACTTTCCACTGCTCGGTCTTTTATGATTTTGGGTGATTTTCCACCATTCAGCTGTTCCCTCTTTCCATCTTTAAGGATTTCGGGTGAATTTTCCGCTGTTCCTTCATTCTCCAACATTCTGCCATTCCAGCTTTTAGGGTCGCCCTGTAATCATATCTTCCACTTCAAAACCCAACTGCTTCTTTTTGTAGTTTAAAATGGGAGTCTTTGTAAAGCTCAGGAACTGTTGTTTAAGGGGCTGTAAGACGACAAATGAACATGTCTTGGAAAATTTGCTGGTAGTCAACTGAAACACAGAAATAGAGGTACAAAATCTTAATTCTTTGATAATAAAATAGTTTAACTTCGTGGTGAAATATTCCAGGGTGCTAGTGAGTAACTTGCTTCTTTACTTCCTTCATACTGACTATTCCCGTTATGTATCCCAAGGATACTTTTCAGACGTTTCGATTAGTCAAGTACCATTTCTTTGGGTTTTTTCTAGTAAAAGGGAGCTTTTGTTTGCATTGTTAATGATGTCTGAGGAAACAGAACGTTGGTGAACATAACACAAAAACTTAAACACTAAAAATGGTAAAAGTTATGGAAAAGTTATGAAAGAGAGAAATCTCTTTGCCACTATCAAGTAAACAATAATACCACCAATGCAATACAGACTCGTACAAATACAGTACTGCTCACAAGTAATCTAACAGGGAATGCATTTGCAGACAGGTACAGAACGGATTCCGAACGGGTTTGGGAATGCGAACAGAACAGATACAGAACATGTACAGAACAAATCATCTTATGTCTTATGTCTTTTTTAATTTCTTTTAACATGCATTGAGCAAGCATTTTCTCTGCTTCTTCTATTCCATTCTATGTTCATTGCGGCAATTTTGTTAAATTGTCAGCAAGCCCTAGTTACATCCAAATAAGGAAAAAGATGGATGAGTTGAGTTAGACTGGAATAATAATAATAATGATAATAATAATAATAATGATAACATTTATAATGCGCAAATTTCATAAAATGTTTAAATGCACATGACAAGATTAGAAACGGAATAAAAAGGCTAAAAAGCCAAAATTACAATTAAAAGTAAACTTACAATAATAAAAACAGCTATGATAAAAATGCATGACGGAAAAGGTGAGTTTTTAGCTTGGCTTCATAAATACTAACAGTGCTGGCGCTTCTTATGTCAAATGGTAGCGCATTCCAAAGTTTCGGTGCAGCACAGGTAAAAGAATGGTCACCTAGTGTACCTTTTGATTTAATACATGGATAATTAAGTAAAAGTTTATCGCTAGAATTCCTTAGATTATATTTGGATGGGAGCCTAAGAGAAATAAGAGATGATAAATAAGTAGGCGCTAAAAAATTAAGAATCTTAAAAGTAATTTAAAGTATTTTAAACTCGATTCTGTATCTAATTGGTAACCAGTGTAAGTCATAAATAAGAGGCGTTACATGGCAAAATTTCTGTTCTTTAAAAATCAGTCTGGCGCAGGCATTCTGTACTCGTTGCAGTTTATTTAACAAGCAATCTGGTAGTCCATATAACAGACCATTGCAGTAGTCAAGGCGACTTGTTATGAATGCATGGACAAGAGTTCAGACAAGGATAAACAGAAAGGATCAAATATTCCTGTACTTGAGTAATGCAATGAGAAGACGAGGCGCATTCTTACTCCTCAGTGGTAATGAAGGCTAAGCTGGCATATTAGTTGTTCTTTTGTTGACCAATAAACTCAAAAGTAACCGAATGGAGGATCGCGATCTCTCTTGTTAAGCGAAATATG